AACTTTCTATCTTTGTCCCCTGGAGTATAAAAGCACTTCTCCCCATCGCCGGGATCGCCACTACCCATCCACCACTGCGACCTATTTTTATTTAACTTATACTCCTATTCTGGGGAACCTCGACTCCCCAGAGCCTCACCTTTGAATGCATTATCTCTTTAACTTACTATGACGTGACATGTATGTATGACGCGACGTATTACACACATATACACACTCCTACAACCGGGGCAAACACTAGCCTAATAAGCTAACAGTTAGGGTAGCGACACGATAAATGAATTTTTACTGGTACCGGCTTAAAGGCTTGAACGGAATTTGGGGATTTGTAACAAACTATAAATTCATTTTGCTGGCATCCTTAGTACACTGGCAAACTGTGCCTCCACTCTTTAATTCAGATCTGGGAAAAAAAAGCAAAAAAAAAACTGGTCTTGTGCAGGCGAAAATTGTCCTATAAAAACCTCTCAGCAGTAAGGGACTTCCCTGTTTTTGAAGCCGATGCTTAGGTATTGCTGTGAGAGAATGAGGTAAAGCTACGCAGGTAAAGCGCAGAGCTCTCAGCTTTACCTAAGCATCAGCTTCGTAAATAGGGAACTCCACTACTGCAGACGAGCTTTTGTAGGACATTTTCCACTCATATACGCCGGATTTTTATTTGCTTTTGCTTTCTTAAGCTTTTGTTTATAAGCTCCGATCCTTGGATTTCCATGTTTTTTTTTTTTATAATTTCAGGTTTTCTTTAAATTACATTGCTTTGTACTGCTGTGTTGTCTCTTCCGTTTTACTACTGTCTCCTTATCTTCACTCGAACTCCTGACTAGTATCCTTGTTCCCCTCCTCTATCCAACCATACCCTACGCTCATTGGCAAAGTACCAAACAGTACCGGCAGACGATGTCACGAAATTGTATTAGTGAGGAAACTGGGGTGTTTCACAATGGCGATCAAGTCAAAGTTTTATTATTGCCAAGATCTGCACTTCAAAATCTGTTGTGGATAATCCATCAGCGGCACGGTAGCTCGGGGTATAATGCAAATTAAGCTCCAAATATTCATGTTCAATATATATTTTCTATGATTTCAGCGAGAAAAAGCTACATTACGGCAGCAATTGGAACGGTATGAGTTGGAGGAGAATGAAAAATGGAACAAGGAAGAGGAACATCGGCGCCGCGAACGTCTTTATCAGGAACAGTTAAGAAAAAAGGAGAAAACATTGCATCAGGTTGGAATATCTGCAAGCTGTGGTCGGCACTTTAGCAGTATCACCGGTGGCGAAAAAGGACACTATCCTTCCTGTCTACACTTGTTTTACAGTTTTTTTTTTTTTGATTTTCTTGAGAGAAGTAATGGTGGTGATCAAAATGTCTTACGATCCCAGCATTCGATGCGCCACGCAAAATACATATCCTGACCATTTATGTTTTGCAGTTTTCCGGGTAAGTTCATAACTTGGAGATCTGAGATGTTAGAAAGCTGAAATCTTAAGAGGACGTTCCCCGTCCACCTAAGTCTCATTCAGTTCAAACTCATCCCTCCGGTATACGTGGTACCCATGCACGGGCTCACCAAAGTTTTTCTTGGGTAAGTTGTTAACTCGAGAATCTGAAAAGCTAGAAGACTGTAGTTTTAAGAAGATGTTCCCCGTCCACGTAAGTCAGCGAGCTCAAACCCAGACATCGGGTGTGCGTGATACCCACGTACGGGCTGGTGAAATTTTTTCCCAGCAAATTGTTAACTCAGGAGTCAGGAAAGCTAGAAAGGTGAAATTTTAAGGAGGTGTTTCCTGACAGTTCTGGCGATCAGTCTTAATTTGTTTAGCTAGAAGCATTTGCCGAAAAAACCGGTGCCGATAGCGACAAAAACTGC